CCTTTATTCCCTCATCTGTGATATTATTGAAGGAAGAAATTAGATAGGCAGACATAACTTCCTACTGAGTGAAGTCACTAGCGCCCATCGCCCAAGATCCTGATTCTCGTAACAGATGTACTCGTTCTTTCAGTTGGAAGTCATCTACCATTTGATGAACTCGCCCTGCATCACCCCCTCACTGAGCTCATTCAGAGAAAGAAAGGAAGTCGTTCTACGATGATGACAGAGTGACTCATTGGTCTTCCTGCTCATTGATGGTTTCTCTTCTTAGGTTCATACAAAATTCCATTAAAGAACCCATTTTAGAATCTTGCCTAGAATTCGTGTCAAACTCACCAGCTCATAGTTACAAAATGCCTTATCATCCATTTGAAAACAGGGATTTCATTTGCAAGCTCTCTCTGTGAGGGGGAGAGCTCAGGAGAGCCGCGAGAAGATCCGCTGTCTCCCTGGCTCTCAGCACCATTGTACCATCTGCACTAAGTGTTGTCTCCTCTTTTAACAAATCATTTTTAGGTTCCAAAAGCATATTACTTTTGATTCTATGTTAGAATCAACATAGAAATTAGCCTCTATTAATGTCTTAGTATATTTCCTTTAGTCATATTTTCATTACATGAACACTCAAACTTTGGTTAGAAATTTAGGATCACCCTGTTCAATGTTATAGTAAGCTTCTTTCACTCACTATATTGTGATCTTTGGAAACATGTTTTTAGAAGACTGTGATTTTTTGAATCCTATGGCAATGCCATTCTCAAATTAACCGTTTCCCCAGCAGGCTTCACAGCAATGTTACAATGAACATCTTGTTTATTAGTTACTATCTGCCTATGCGATCGCTCCCTTAGGACTGAGCCTGAAATGGAATCGTTGTGTCACAGAGAGGAACAGTTTTATGGTTAATCTGTGTTTCCAAATGACTTCCCAAAATGTTTTAGGAACATGGTGGAGTGGCTTACACCATTGCTTTATTGTTTTAAAAATATTTGCTAACCGAATGGAGGAATGACACCTTGTTCTTTCATCACATTTTTATTTTATTTTATTTTTTAAAATTTATTCTGTTGCTGTTGTTCAATTAGAGTTGTCCTCATCCCCCCTGAATTGCTCTCCTCTGCCCGCCCCCCCGAACTCCCACATTCAATCTGCCCCCACTCATTGGCTTTCTCCCCGGGCCCTTTATACATCTTCCTGGGGGGCCCTTGCCCTTCTTTCCCCTGTGATCCTCCAACCCTCTGGTTATTGCCAGTTTGTTTTTTATTTCAATGTCTCTGGTTATATTTTCCTTGCTTGTTTGTTTTGTTGATTAGATTCTACATATAGGTGAGATCATATGGTGTCTTCCACTGCCTGGCTTACTTCTCTTAGCATAATGTTCTCCAGTTTTATCCATGCCGTCGTGAAGGGTAGGAGTTCCTTCTTTCTTTCTGCTGCGTAGTATCCCATTGTGTAAATGTACCACATTGAGTTTTTTGATCCACTCATTTACTGATGGGCACTTAGGCGGTTTCCAGCTCTTGGCAATTGTAAATTGCACTGCTATGAACATTGGGGTGCATAGGATCTTTTGCATTGGTGTTTCAGAATTCTTAGTGAGGTTGATGTGTTTTCAAAGATATGTTTATTGGCCAGTTTGTTACTTTTCTGAATTATCCACTTATACCTTTTTTCCATTTTAATAATTGGTTAATTGTGTGTATCAATGGATGAAAGTAACATGGTAACATTTGTGCCACCATTAAAGGCTTCACAGGGATATAGGGAAGGGATTGTACACCTTTAAACATCAATGAGGAATGATAACGATAGTAAACTGTAACCTCCTGCTTATGTCCGCTTTATTTGTTTATTAGTAGGCTTCAACATTTCCCTTTGAACTTATATTGTTAACTGGTTGGGTTTGGCCATCACTTCTGTCGCATATCCACAAGCCAAATAGAGTCTAGAATGCTTATTTTTGCAGAACAGATGGACATATATTTTCTCATCCCGGTTTTTATTGGTTTTTCCATTCTGAACAGGACAAGCTGTGAAGTATGCATGAAATTAAACCTCTTGACCAAACACCCAGGATTACATGACTTTGTCCCATGTGATGGTTCAGTTTTATGTTCTTATATTTCACTTAGAGGGAGTCCAAGAATCTCATTTTGTCCCATATTTCTTGGGCCAGGAACAGTTTAAACTATTTCTTTCTAAGTGCCCTTTCCCCTGGTGGACAGCTAGTTGAAGCCTTTGGGAGTAGAAGTACTTCCCAGGACATGAGCCCAACCCTTCCTCCCACAGCCATTTAAAATAGTTTAAAAATAGACCCCACTTAAAATTTTGTGGCAGGCCATGACAACTTTATAAAAATTGTACGTTTACTTTTCTCCTCTTGTTCATTTGGTAGAACACTAGTTAGCAGAGATTCCCGGAGAAATAAATTTATTGCCAAGCTATCAAAGGAAGTTTCGTTCCTTAGGGCCTGCAGCAAAGCGCGAGGGGCTGAGCATGCTGCAGGTGCAGCTGACTCCCGTACTGGAGGGGACAGTTGGCATAGTGGTGGTTTCAGAAAGGGATCCTGCCTTTTTGAGCTAAGAGGATAGATTCAAAGACACCATTCATGCATTTATTCATTTACCTGTACCTCCCACAAATGTTCTTGTGTGCTTCCTATATGCCAGGTACTGTTTTAGGCCCTGGACAGCCAATGGTGAACAAGACAGACAGCGTTTCTAGTTTTGTGGCACTTATGGTATAGAAAAGAATTAGACAACAAAAAATATTGCAATTGTTTAGAACACTATATAGATACAGTTGTGAGTATGCAAAACACGAAGTTTACTCTTGTATTATTGTTTATTAATTCTTATATTATTTTCCATATGAACAATTGTAAACCCCCTTTTGTGCCACCCTGATGTGTGTGTGTGTATTTTTTTCACTGTAAACCAAGACCTTAGAAAATTTTCATTAGAATATGTATTTGCCAGATCCTGCTCCCCCTTCCCTGGAAACCTTGCGCTTGCTTCCCACCCCATGCAGAGAGAAAACCCAAGTCCTAACATTGTTCTGGAAGGCCCTTCACATCACTATGGCCACCTGTGACACCACATCTCCTATTCTGTCCCCCTTTACACACTCTCATCAGATATCCCTCCTTCTTGTAGACCCTTGAACTTGTAGGCCCTTGGGCCAGAGCCTTTCATGTGTGGTTTCCTTTGCCTGAAAAGCTCCTTTCCCAGAGTTCCCCATGACTGGCTCTCCCTGACGTTGGTTCTCCATTAAAGGATCCAGTCATTTTATTAGAAGACATTATTAGAAGACACTTCCCTGGACATGTTGATGCCCCTCCACACCAGACTGCTTATCCTGCTTTCATTTCCTTCCTAGCACCTTTTGGCATGTGCGTCTTTGTTTAGTGCCTGTTCCCCTCCCCACCCACTCCCAGGGAGAGCGCATGTGAGCATGGACGTCGTCTTCTCCACAGCTGGATCCCCAACACCCAGAACGCTCGGCCTGGCAGAGGAGAGATGCACAGCAAATGGTCCTTGAGTGAATGAATCAGGGACATGGCTTAATGTGACATTGTGTCGAGTCTTTGGTGTCTTCAGCCTTGGTTCTTATTCTTCTTTTTCCTCTTATTTTTTTTACATAATTATGCTAATATTTTGTTAACTCAAGAGCACTTTGCAAGAATATGTAAGTATGCCTTTCAATGGGAATGTTACACTTGGACTCAGTCCAAGCTCACAATTTTAGTTTTGCTTTAAAGTTAAAAACCTTGTCACCAAAACTTTAATCCCAAGGATTCTTGCCAAAGCATATTGCAACTGGCAGCATGCAAAAACATTTTGCACAGTAATTCGAGTTCAGCTCCACAGTGTACTCTTCCACTGGCAGGACACTGGTGTCTTGAAGAGTCTCAGATTTCCAAATAAAGAATGTTCTGGAGAGCTATGTATTCATATATAGCAACCACACCAGGACCATGTGACCCAGCACAAAGGTAAATGAACTTTCTCAAAACTTCACAGATTCTACACCAACTGGGAAACCTCTACCCAGTATGAAGACTAATTGGATTTAAAACACACACACACACACACACACACACACTCACACTCACACATACACATACATACAACCTCTAATTTAGTTTAATGGTGCAGCTTTTATTTTTACCTGCTGGCAGTATTCACATCAGCTTTTAAAGACTGCTTGTTCAACTATAGCTGTGTACTATTTCCCAGCAATGGAAAAAAGTTGAGGTCTCAGTTCCATTTTAGTTACATGGCATTTAGTTTTCACATTTGCAGATGAAAATTCTTTTTTTTTTCCATCTGTACTTGCAACATCTTCCACAATTGGATATTCCTAACCTTCTTGTCTGAAAATTCAAATTCAAAAATAAAGCAATCCCAGCCCATCCTATCTGATTCTACCTAAACACCCTCACATGCTTTGCTTTTACCATAGCATTGTTCATGCTCATTTACTGGACAAATATTTTAGCACATATGTGTGCCAGGCAGTAGGATACAAAAGTGAAAGAAAACGTAGTGCCTGTCCTTAAAGATCCTACAGTTGAAGGTTGTATGTCACCCTAAAAATCACTGTGCTGGTCTATTGTTTCAGGAAGCCAGGAAGCCAAGGACTCTGCATCCTATTTCCTTCTTCTAATGTAAGTTCTAATGTAAGTGTGGGCCGAGCGTTCCTCATGGTGCTGCAGGGAGTATTAGGGAAAACAAAACAAACAAAACTGGTGCCTTCCTTAAAAATATACAGGGAGGGTGGGGGGAAAGTAGTTTTAGAGTCATCCGTATGGAAAATAATACAGTGAATTATAAATAATAATACAAGAATAAACTGGTTTCGCATAGTCAGAACTGTAAACCTACTTTTGCCCCACCCTGTGTGTTCTTGGAAACAATTAGAGTGGAAAAATAAACACAGCGTGTCATGGGCAGTGTAGCATAAATGGGAAGGAGATAGTAAAGACCAGCGGTGTCACAGCAATCCAAAGGGTAGGGAATGAGCCCTGGGGACTGGGGTGGCGGAGGAAAGGTGGAATTAAGGAGGCGGGTCCTGGGTGTTGGGCCCGAGGGAGCATGCTGTCTGTGTTGGCTGAGTGGAGTCCTCAGTGTCCGTGGTAAGTCAGGGCTCTCGGTGAAGGGCAGAGGTGTACCCTTTCCTGGGAGGCCTCAGAAGACGCTTCCCATCTCTCTGTCTGCTGTCTCCTCATTTCCCAGAATGGGACTGATGGGCTCCAGAGGGCTGTCCTGCAAGAGGAGAAGGAGAAAAATGTGGTGCCAATTACGGAGTCCGTCCTCGGAGGCTTGGAGCCCAGGGGTGAGGCACGGGAATGTATAAATGAGCTGGAGCCCGGGCGGGCCCTGCGTGGTCGGGCTGTACCCCTCTGCTCTCTGGCACTGAGACTTGCCAGGAGATGGGGGATGGGGTGTGTGTGTGACTTGGTTCTCTCTGTGCCCAGGCTGTCCCTTCTCTTTGGGCCAGCTGTAAGTTCCATTTGGCACAACCTGGCCTTGGAAAAATGTTTTCTTATAGTTCCCAAAGCGCTATGTAAGTGGACGATTTAGACTTTGCTGTGATTGCCTTTGTCAAAAATATGTCAACTTCAGAAGCACTTTAGAATTTGAGAAATATTTTTACAGGGAACTCATCACAATAAAGTAAGCCTTTGACTTTCTAGATTGCTTCCTAGCAAGATCTTACTCTTCCATACTTTTTCTTTGAAACGACTATTGTTCTTAAACCAGTTGGCTTTAATAGGTCGCCCCATACGTCTGTTCTCCAGGTTACAGTGGGCCCAGCATCTGCTCTTCATTTAGTTTCCTCTTGACATCTTTCTTCCCCTTTTTCTCTTATTTGTGCTTGTTGGAAGTGGTATTTTTGGCCGAGGTTATTTTAAGGTGGTGTTGAAATAAATCCTGGGACTGTCCTCTTGTTCAAGAGCGCATGTTCTTTGAAGCCTACACATCCAGGGTCACCCCACCAAAATAAATTACATGGGCCCTGTGCAAAACTCTCAAGTGCCTGACTCTTTATTTATGACAGTTGGCTGCTGCCATGATGTTTATAGAGTCCTTGGAGCAAAAACGGGCTCCCTTTCTCTTCTCCGCCTTTTCCAAGAATCCCTAGCTCTCTCATTTCTTCACTAGCTATGGCTCTGTGTCACTAACTATTTTAGCTTTATTAGCTCTCTCAGGGGATTTTTGAAGTTTAGTTAAATGTCAGTCCAATCTCCTGTTTTAATAATTGCACAGGTAAGTAGAACTCAACAACCCGCCCATTTATAGGCCTGCAAGACTAGCTGAGTCATCAAGATATGTTCTTCGCCTTGACCTAAACTGGATAAAAATATCCTTATCTCTATAGGGGATTTGACTGATTTTTTTTCTTCTCTTAAAAGCAGATTTTGCAAAGCTTACATTTGTCACAGGGTATAAACCTTAGTTATTGGAATTATTTGGGGATTTGTAGATGGTTCAAAAATTTATAGAAGTAGGTCCATCAAGGACCTCATTTTCTGTGTGGAGGAAGGACTCAAATTTTCCAGCAAGTTGGGAAATATGTAGATTCTTTACTTTGCAGACTGATACAGTAAATATCCTTCTTATGTGCACACGATGTCAGCATCCCGATTCTTTTTCATTGTCCTTTTGTGCAGCCAGCACAACCAAATAGTCTGAAGGAGTCCATCCTTCCTTTCCACCTGACCTGTAAAACTTAGATCAAGATTACTAGGGTGAACTTTTCGACCAATATCTGCCCCTGGTCTGTCTAAACCCCTTGGGTTATGAGTCTGTTTCAAACTTCGTTTTCCTCTTTCCAGATCTCAGTCCTCCACCTTCAGTTATCCAGGCTGACCCTGGTTCTGTCCAGAGAAAAGCAGGTGCTTGGCGAGGTTAAAATGGCAGGCGTGGGCTCTCTGGGCGAAGCAGACGTGGATCCAGGAAGAAACAGGAGGCAGGATTATCTTCCTGTGCACACATTCCGGTAGATGGACGTGTCTTTGGAGAATAGCATCTGGCATAGGATACTGGTGATGGTTTGCAGTAGGAAAGGGCTCCCGCTACAGGGTAGGGCGGGGGCAGGTTGTGGAAGGCCCTGACAGGGGACAGCAGTGGGAGCCAGGAGGCTTTGAGGAGGGAGCGCTGTGATGAAGGCGTTGGGGGTGACTGCTTGGGTGACAGTGTGCTGGACGTTGGCTGCCATCATCCGCCCTCCCAGGCCCCTCTGAGGGGTTGCGCCTGGTCTGCGCTCAGGCTGTGTGTTTTTGGTGTGGCATGCGCCTCAGTCCGCCCGCTCCTCCTGTCATTCCCGTGACCACACCGATTGGTTGAAGGGTTAGAGGTGACCCAGTGCAATGCAACCAGTCTTTGCCTGGGCCTGGGGGAGGCCGCGGGTGCTGCCGCCATCCCGCTGGGCATGGGCGTAATGGGAGGGGAGGCTGCGTTGCTGGAACCATGGCGAGTGGAGAGCTGAGAGCCGGCGGACAGGGGGACTGTCTGAGGGACCAGGGTGAGGCGCTGGCCAGTGCAAAGCCGGCCCCACGCCTGACCTTCACGGATGCGTGCTCGGAAGAGTCCCCGCGGCTTAGGCCACGTGAGGTTGAGGCCTCTCTCTCTTGCTGCTGGCCGAGTCCTAACAGACAGCAGTGGAGTCCGGTAATCTGCAGGCACGGCTGCTAGTCAGGAGCCTTTTGATAAACATTCTGGGTACAGAGTAGACACTCTACAAATTAATAGCATTAATTAATACCTTAATTAAACAGGGTTAAACTGAGAGATGGCAGCTATTTAATTTTCATGGGGTTCTTTCATAAGTACCTTGCATTTAAAAAATGATTTAGCTTCATGGCAGAATACATTTTAAAAGAGTTACTTTTGCAGGCAGCTTGAAAATAGGGCTATTTTCCTGCAGCCTCACTGTGTGTATCCCATGAGCATTTGCCTCTGTGTTATAGCAAAGATCTTTTACGGATTTAATGAAAGGCAGAGTCTTGTATTTCTTTTGGTTGCGTGTCATATATTTTCTTGGAGTGTGTGTTGTGATTTTTGCCCTTCCCTCAATATCTGACCTCTGAATAAATGGTCCTGGGAAAATACTTTCATTGGTTTTACAGTTTTAAACAGATTAAATCTGGCTTTTGGGAGGATTGGTGTTCCCGATTTTTCTACCAAATAGCTGGAGTAGAAAACTCCTGACACTTCATGACTACCCTCTTCTATTTGTTTAAGCAATTTTATAGAAATAGGGAAAACAGTGCTTCTTTTAATTACTTTTATTTTTTTGAAAGCAAGCTTATTATGTAACATTTTACAATATCATTTTACTTTCCCAGTTTTAGTGAAATATGTAAGTTTAAAGTGTATACAAAATAATGATTTAATATGTATATGTCTTACAAAATAGTTACTACAGTAACTTCAGTAAATATCACTTTACATAGTAGATTTTTTCTCTTGAGATGAGAACTTTTAAGATCTGTCTTAACAACTTTCAAATATACCATATAGAACTGAAAGTGCTTCTTTTTAAACTGGAAAATCGAATGTTTTTATTTCAGCTAGCATAACAGATTATACCAATTTTAATATTCTGAAGAATTTTTAACTTTTTATTATTACACTTTTTCTTCTGTGTGAAGGTACTTTGCAACTATAATTGGGCAGTCCATCTTTGTTGAATCCTGTGCCATTTTTACTACTTTTACAGGGGAAATGAAGGCACAGACATGAGGTGATCATGCAGAGGGAACAAGAATTAAATCTCTGAAGTCTTTGTTGTGGACTTATCAGCAATTCCTGGCTATTAATAACTACTGAGACATGCGCTTTTTCTCTGACATATGCAGGTACCCATAGGTGGAATTGTTCATTGTCCAGAAGCTATGGATTCAAACTTAAAACATCTTAGCAACCCAGGGACGCCTACCATAAATAAAACCATTCCGAACTTCTAATAGGGTGGCGTTTCTATAATTAATGCATGGCTGGTCACAAGGGAAACCTGACTCCTGGGGCACTTATCCCCACGCCGCGGGTCACCGCACCTGCTGACCTGCAGCACAGCAGTGCCCACCTCAGGACGCTGGCCGGCTCGTCCTGGGCCACCCGGGGATCCAGGCTCCTCGGGTCCACCTGGTTCCCTGGGGGTCTGCGCCTCCCGAACAAGCAGGGGGCTCACACGCCTCACCAACCTGCTGTATACTGAGTGGTTAAGGCTTTGGCTTCACCCGGAGCTTTTTCCTTGTCAACCATATTACTCCCTAATTGACATTTTAGGGAAAATGGAGGATAGGCTTTTGAGGGTTTGCCCTTGTCTTTCCTTTCCCTGCAGTATTAGGCCTGGACTGAAGAGGTCAAGTACAGGAGAGGTCTACCTGTGAGACCTTGGGCAGTCGATTTATGCTTCATGCTCTTTTATTTTACCATTTGTAAAATGAGATCACCATGTCTACCTCCCAGCCAGGGTTACAAACAGTGTATGGATGACGCTTGGTACAATACCTGGCACACAGTAGCTGCTCAGTAAAAGGTAGTGAACATTATTATTATTTTTTTTTATTACCCTTCCTTCTTCTTCCCCCTCTGCTCAAGGGAGAAGTTAGTTGAAAGGAATCTGCCACACTGGTGCTTTCTTCTTTACCGTCGGCTTTTCTGGAAAATTAGTCTGGGGTCGTTCTGATTGTGACTCTCAGCAGTTAGCTGGTGCAGGGAGGGGGAACTGCTTTTGGTCAGAACAGCCTCCACACCCAAGACCCTGGATCCCGAGGGACGGCGTCCCTCCCTGGGGGCTTCTAGGCCCAGCTGTGCTGCCTTCACCGTTGCCTCCTAATCACGGCACTACCGTTGCTCACAGGGCAGTGGACGTGCATTCGTTACCGTGCATTTTAAACTGCCTTGTGCATGCACATTTTCTGTGTTGTACACATTTTGTGGCTCATGTTTCCTCAGGACTGCGTTGCAGTGGCACGTCTTAGGAAAAATGAACTCCGCCTTTACTTTTAGCATCTCATTATTGTAGTCGTCTCAAGTCTGGTTCTGCACTAGTCCTCCTTGTCACCGAGTCACTTTCTGACCGGTGGTGTGGAAATTTCATGGGTGGGCACTAAGAAACCAGATTGGTCGATTGGTCTGTATGTCACGTAGCCCAAATATCATCATTAGATTGTAAAAAAAGAGAAGAAAAGAAAAAGAAAAACATGGATAGCTAGATAGGTGTATTTTAAAATATGGTTTCAGAAATCAAGTTGGCATACTGATGTTAACATATATTTTACATACTTCTTTTGTAATTTTTATCTTAAAGAATTCTATGAGCAT